GTGAGCCGCCTCTCGCTCGGCATTTGGCAAGACAAGGACGTCTCGGAGAAGGAGACGATCCGCATCGGTCTCGACGCAGTCCGCGCGCTTGCGAAATCAAAGTGACGGCATCTGTCGTACACGCTTTCATTAAGACCTCTATTTGAGAATGTAAACAAGAGCTATCGACGAGGTTGTCGTCTTGATCGCTACTTCTGGTAGTTGGGCCCTCGTGGCGAGGATGTGGACGATATTCATGTTTTGACCTAACCCTATGCCGAACCTAGTAGCCATATCGTTGACTAGGGACACGGCGCGGCAATGCAGCATCCATTCCTGCGAGATGTCAGCGACAGCAAAATGGACTAGTATTATATTCTATACAGGGTACCATCGATCACCTGTGTTGACAACGATGCTACGACAATACTGCTATGTTTCTTTCAATCCTTGATGCATTCGATCTTTTGTGCGCTGCTTCTTGGCCGGTCGTGGCCACGCTTGCTTGTGCTCCAAGTACTCGACGAGCGCGACAAATCGAGAGCCGCTCGCACGTAGCGGACGCACCACATCGACCCCGAGACTGGCCAAGTAGACGAGCACGTCTGCGCTGCCTTGCCGCATCGCCACCGGCGAACACAGTGTCGCATTGACCACCTCGAGCAACAACCGCACCATCGCCACATCCCCTCGGACAACTGCGTCGTCGACGGCAGTGCGTGTGCAGCCTTCGGTCCGGTGCGCATGCAGAAACGCGACGAGCGCGCGATTTCCTGACTTGGCCGCCAGATCCATCACGCGCGGCGTCCATTCGCCAAGACCTTGCTCGTGGAGGTAGCGCACGACCGACAAGTGACCGCCTCGGGCCGCACGCTCGGGTACATCGTCGAGCACGGGTGCCTTCATAGCTTCGTATAGATACCGCACTACGCGATCATGACCGCCCATGGCTGCCCACGCGATCGCATAGCAAGAGGCTTTGGCGCCGACCGTCGCATGCAGGTACATAACGACGTCCAAGTGATTGTTGCCCGCAGCATTGTCGACCGCGCTCACCGAGCAGCCTTCGTCCCGGTGCTCGTGCAGAAAAGCCACGACAGCAACGTGGCCGTTGGCTGCCGCGCAGTCCATCGCAGCTTTCGAGCAAGTAAAGTGCCCGGCATTGTGGAGCATTTTCACGAGGTCCAGTCGGCCGACGCTCGCACAGGCGTTCATGTACTCGTGCGACCAAATCTGATTGGAATGCAGCAGCGAGATGATTGCATCGTTCCCGCCCGCGACGGCAGCGACCATGACCGAGACGGGTAGCATACGCGTAGGATTGCTCTTGCAGTCGTGCGTGAGTAGCACTTGACAGCACGCGAGATGACCTCGCCGCGCCGCCGCTTGCAGCGCGGCAGGTGTGCACATCGCCCCCGTGGCCAAGATGAACTCGATCACGTCGCAATGGCCATTCGACGCGGCTTCTTCCAGCATGTACTCGAGGTTCACGGTGGGATTCTCTTCGTGTAGCTTGGTGACCACGTCGAGGGGCTGTCCGTCTCCAAAATACTAGTACCGATCATCTCGCTCGAGGTTCGGTGGCCACGCTCTTCTAGGTACGCCGCGATATCTTGATGCCCACGCAGCATCGCCAAGTCTAACGTGTTCCAAGGCCACGTCACAGTTGTCTCTTCGTAAAGGAAGCGAACGATGGCGAGGTGCCCGGAACATACCGCATCCTCGACATACCGATTGAAGTCGACGGACCCGCGCTCTTCGTAGAGCTGTCGCACGAGCGCCACGTTGCCACTTGTGAGCGCTCCTTTTGTCGAGACTGGAATGCCGTTGGACGCAAAGAGGTCGCAATGACCAAAGTGAGTTGCGACATGGCTCATGAACGTCGCCCAACGCGAGATGTCGTTGCTACTGCCAATGGCGGCAACGCCCAGCGGGTGGTCGCCAGTTGCCGCTGCATGTAGTGCAATGCACGGAACGAGCGGTGGGTAGATGTGCATGAGATGCATGGCGCCATCGAGGCCACGCCGTGCGAGCCACGGCGCGAAGCGCTCGCCAAAGCCAGCGACGTGGTGCTCCAAGTCGCCCGATGCAAACAGCAGCGGGTCATCGCGGAAGACAAAGCTATCGCGCCACCAGCCATTCTGGTACACAACGATAAGGCCGACCAGCACCGGGTCACGGAGCGCCGCGTCCATCGATGGTACAATGTCAAAATGAGCGGATTGTGGTGGGCTTGTGGCATGACGCCTTTTGATTGGTCGTTTATGAACCAATCCCAAGCAAGGAAACGGGAAATGATGGTCCTTCACGTCGGCGGAATGGTGATCTCCCCGTACCCCAC